CTGATATAATAAATAAGATAAATATAATAAATAATATATAATTAATAAATATAACAAATATAACAAATATAACAAATATAACAAATATAATAAATATGATAAATATGGTAGATCAGTCAAATATGACTGATTTGTCATATTTGTCAACCAAGTCAAATAATAATTTGTAGATCAATTTTGATGATCTTTTAATAATGTTAATTTGCAGCTAACAGCATGATAAGAAATTTCAACAATTGTTGATTTAAATTTCATATATTTATAAGAATCTAGAATATCTTATATTTAAGGATCTTTCAGATAATATTATATCACTTATTCTTGATATTTATGCTCAAAATAAGAAAATGTTAATAAAAATGGTTTGTAATTCTAATTCAAATATGCCAGACTATTTGGAAATATACTTGTAGAAGCATACAGTAACTTCCAAAAGAAATATAAATAGAGTTACTTGCTTTTAAAAGCTTATAACTCACCAACTACAAATAATAAAAACATATTTTTGTATTTGTTTTAAATCTTAAAACCTAGCTAATATTAGATAAATATTTGATGTGTAATTATTAAGACCAATTTTGCATAATTTAGCAATTTACATCATAAATACTTACTTAGTAAAACTTAAGTGTAGAAAAAATTCAGTAGGTTTACTACTCAAAAACTGATACTAGATTCTGATTCTGCTCAGTGTCGCTATTCTAACAAGCTAAAATTCGATTAAATTAGATTAATAGGTTAGCAAAAAATTGATAAAAAAGATCATTATGCATCATATAAAAAATTTTTTTATTTAACAATGTGGTATTGACAATAATTTTATTAAATTTATACAAAATACATGAAAAAGTAAATCTTAAAAATTTATGTATAAATATTAGTTATTTCTCATAATTATATTTTAAATCTGTTTGAATCGACTTATTATTGTTTTTCTCTTCTAATAAACCCATTAAATACATATTAATGATTTTTGTTATCATCAAGAAAAGAAAAGAAAAAATCAATGCCTATCTAAAAATCTCAAAATTTAAAATTTGTTATTGTGTTTAATTACTAAATGTATCCAAGATTTCTAATTGTTAGAAACATAATAATCGGTATAATGCTACAAAAATTTACTGGCATCTCATAAATACTTATTCTTTCTCTAACAATCATTAGGTTATATTAATATTTTTAAATATCATTATATATTTTTTGAAAGAAAAATGAAAAGGTTTGTGATAATTGTTAAGCATTTGTTTCTACTTCAAGTTACTTTGTAAATTGCAAAAATCAGAAAATAAGGTATTAAAACTTTCATGATGAAAGTAAATTCTGTATTGAGAGACAGATTAAATGTTGATGAAAAATTGTGTTAATCTCAAAGAATCAATATCATATGTCTCAAGAAGTCGTATAAGCTCATCAATAAATTTAATAGGATGTAATATTGCATAAACTTACATTCTGTAATATTACAAAAACTTATGAGACTGCCGTAAGATTACATAAATTATATTTTATAATATTTTATAATATTATAATGTAGTATTATGTAATATTATAGAATGTAAACTATGCGAAAGTTTACGATATGATACTTTGGTGTAATATTATATAAAACTTACGAAAGTACAAGAATTTTAAAAGTTTACGATGTAGTATTTCATAATATTATAGTGTAGTATTCTGTAAAATTTACGATATTTGAAAGTTTACGAGTAGATTAACATAGTTTATGAAAATTTATGTCATCAATCGTTTATATTATTTATTTAATACTTTCAGTTATATAATATTTTGTAATTTACTGAGTTTAATATATTTAAATTTATTTATTTATATATAAATAATGCTTTATTTAAAACAATTTGACAAATAATATGATATAAAAAAGAAAATCTTACAAAAATAAGGTTACAGTAACATATACTATTATAAGTCTCATAAAGTTATACATTAATGAGAATTTTTCTAAAATAAATGGTTGATAAATAAAGAAATTAAATGTTTAAATATTTGATGTTTCAAAAATTTCATATGAAAGTAAAAAAAAATAGACAATTAGTAGAATAGAAAGGTAAAAGAGAAACAGTTAATAGAGAAATAAAAGAGAGACAGTTAGTAGAGAAGCAGAAATAGTTAGTAGAAAAAAAGAAGATACAGTTAGTAGTGTTAATATTATATTAAAATAAAGGGTTTTCATGCCAACTGAATAATTTTAGTTGATAAAAATTTAATTTTTTGTTTATTTTTTTATCATAAAATCTGTAATTACGACTACTTACGAAAAATTATACATTTTAAATAAATGATTAAATATTTTTAATAAGAAATTTTTTGAGGAACGAAAAAGAAAAAGTTTATTTTTTTTATTTTTTTTTAAGTATGGTAGTTTCACAAAAACTTTATTGAAAATTAATTAATAAATTACATATTTCAGAATTTACAAAAATCTCTATCTAAATAATCATGAAACTATCTAAATCATGACCGACCCTGCACTTTTCTAGAATCTAACACAACTGAAACCATGTTATCATATTTCAACAATTAGAAATGGAAAAGAGCTTGACCCTTACAGCACCAAAAATTTGATCAATAAGATCCTAAATGGACTATATTATTAATTAACTCATTATAATTGAGTGATTGAAGATTAGATGAAAAATCATATCCTGATGCATCAGTAAGAGATTTTTTTAACGAATCTGTAATTTTATGTAACTTTTTGAAATCTTTAAGTTGTGAATATTGATCTTTCCAAATTTCTTGTGATTGTTTGAAGATATAATACATGAAAAAATATAATGTTACTTCAGTCGCAACTTTAGAATTTAGTGATAGATGAACTAAATGATATAAATTTGAAGAAACAATACCTTTAATTAAGTCTATAAAAGAAAATTTTGAAGAAATAAGTGATCAGATATCAAGTTGGTTTAATTGGTATTCAAGTTCCTCATTATAGATGATGGTGTTGAGTAATAATTTAGAATTCTGAATTAAATTCTATGTTTTATGAAATATCATCAGACAGATCCAAATGTATATGAAATCCTCCAATTCAATGTTACATCTGATACAGTTTTGTGTCTAATCAAACAAAAGTGGGTGACAGATTTTAAGTACTTCCATTATAGGTAACATCTCTAAAATTCTTTAGATCTTTTTTTTCTTAAAAGCAAATACTTTGTAATTGGTGGCAGCAGAAGCAACGTTATCTAAAAGGCAAAAAGTAGTGAAATTCCAATCAATATCCATATTGATATATTTGATATTGATATCAAGGTTCAAAAATGCAGTGAAAACTTCAGTTCTAGTAATATTTTTAATAAAATGCCAAATAGGAGAGATTATAGGCAAATTGTTATAATATAATGTAATGTGAAATTGGTCATTGATATTTAAGTTCAACACTGTAGAATCTAAAGAGTTCTTTGCTAGTTGGTCAACTTTTTTATTGAAAAGGTTACCTGAGTGAGCTTTAACCTTTATTATTGATACTAGGGTTCCTCAAAATCAAATCAAATCAAATATTTAAGCAATTTGAATTTGATTTGGTTTTTTCAAATCGAATCA